GGTCTTGGTCTGTATTTCAAGGTGGCCCTGAACTCACCATGTAACCTAGACTAGTCTCAAACTTAAGGAATCCTCCTGTGGCAGCCTCCTGAGTGCTGGGATTGCACATGTGTGCCACCACACCCACCTCTTGACGTTTTGCTTTTGTTTCTCATAATAGATCTTGCTAAGAGCAGTAAGCAGTAACTGTGCCACAGGCTGAATATTGACCTGCCTTGAAATTTCCTCCACCCAATTAATTAGTCCACAGGCCTTAATCTTGACCTCCTACAAAGTCTGAAGACATGAACAAAATAGAGACAAATCACCTGCCGGAGTGTCATACACATGGTCTCTAGGCTTAATGCCAATGGAGTCTTTGTTCCCAACTGACATCTCCTAAACGTGGTTTTTCCCATCTGTACTTCTGTCAACATTCTGGTTTTCCAAGATTGAGTGCAGCTTACAGCACTCTAGGACTCTTTCCAGCTGACATTGCCAAAACTTTCCAGACTCCTCCAGCAAACTGGTTTGAAAGACCTCTGAACCACACTGTCATATAGTCAAAGCAGTGACCCCACTCCTGGTAGCAAAGTCTGTCTTATTCATGTTTTGTTTACTGAAACATAATACCCAACACTTATAATTTAAAGGAGGACTTATTTTAGCTCAGATTTCAGCCCATAGTCAGGTGGTTTCAAGGCAAGATGGCATGGCAGAGGAGCATGGTGGACAGGAAGCAGAGAGAGAACAGAGGGGCTGGGGAAGGAAATAAATCTAGGCCATATCCCTAGATACCTATGTCTTCAGACTGGACCCTCCCTCCTGACAGCAAGTCAGCTCTAAGGCCTCATAATCTAATCACTTTCCAAAAGCCCCACTTGTGATCACATGGGGTTCTTGGGGGTCATCTAGATATAAACCATAATACATGTCTTGAGCAGCAACAGGACAAGAAGATGACCATACCCCAAGACAAGAGGAAGGGCTAATGTACTAAGCTAGACAAAAGTGGCCTGTGACCAGTATCAGTTAAGAAATAATCCAGGTATCAGTGGCTAGCACAAAATCCTAGGCTGACTGTCTTAACACTGTCCTGTAGGGTTTAGAGGGTGTGCCAGAGTCACCTGGCAGGTAAAGTGGTAGTTACCACAATGGCTATAGTCACATCAGACTGGATCCCTGCAGGGTAGGAAGCAGTTTCCCTTAATGTAAGTGGATATATTTAGAAGACCAATTAAAGAAAGACCTTCGGGGGTTATTCCATCTGCACTGAGTCAGCTCTTTTTATCTGAATGTCTGTGGAAGGAATACTGGGGATGGAAAGCAGGCTGCAGCAGTGTGGCCACTTAAATTTAGTGGGAAGCACTGTCTAGTTGGAACCCTGCAGAGTTATTCCACCCCCTAGACTGTAGGCTGAGTCATGCCTCTGGACCTTCACGAAGCTCCTCCTGCTCCTGATTCTTCACCCCCATGGTAATATGTATCACATAACCATGCATTTTGGTGGCTGAAGGCCCCAAAGGGCTAAAAGCTTTGTTGTGTCTGCCATCATAACCTCAGGGGCTAAGCAAGGGAGGAATGAGGGGAATGAGTAGACACCAAATTCTCAATCTACCATGAAGTTCACCCTTGAGAGCTTTTCTTTCTGAGTGGCCAGAACCGCTTTACCCTCTCACCATTTCCTACCTTTTATGCTAAACAACTGTTTGGATTGCCTTGGTGATCCACTCTGGTTTATGTACTAGTTCTCAGTCAATGTCCTGATAATCAACCTCTTGAAAGGATCAGTCTAGCTTTCTTCTCCAGCTCTCCCTCCTCTTCCCTTCCCATTTCCTTCTTTTCTCTTCTATCTCTTCTTTTCTTTTCCTTCTTCATAGACCAAGTCTTTGCTCTGGCTGGCACTGAACTCGTGGGTTCAAGCAATTCTCCTGCCTCGAATTTCTCATTAATTGTGACCACAGGTGTGTACTACTGTGCCAGTTCACATGTTGTCTCAAAGGAAGTTAGTAAGGCACATTAGTAAATTAATTTTATGTCTTCAGGTAGATTTTAAGTAGTGATTTAACAGTCTCATGTCTTGTTAATGTAACAAACCTTAGGAAGTCTTACCTTTGTTTTGTACAGTGGTCATCTCCATCAGAGGCAACTGAAAGTTTCCTTTCAAAAGAAATTTGGCTGGCACACCCACAGTTCTATGAAATAAGAAGACTCGAAAACTTTGCCTCTCTTTCTGACTTGCACAAATTTTGTTTGGAGCATGCATTAGAAGGGTCAGAAAGATGGTTGCCTATCAACTGTGTAACTGCTGATGGGATGATGATCCAGCTTTATCCAGGTATATCCGTGGACCATCAATGCTGTTGTTAGTGTTAGCACAGTGCACTGAGCTGTCTGGCCATGTTATTCAGCAGAGACATGAGTTATAGTCAGTATTTTATAGCCTACAGGATGTTACCTAAATACCATCAAAGTTTGTAACATATCCATAGTATTTATTATAACAAGGAATTCTGGGGGCTGGGGATTTAGCTCAGTGGCACAGCACCTGCCTGGCAAGCACAAGGTCATGAGTTTGATTCCCGGTACCGGAGGAAAAAAAAAAAAAAAAAAGAAATTCTGAATGTTGTATGTGCACATACATATATGCGTTTATGTAAATACACAGTGATACTTTGGTTCACAAGTGTTTTTGTTTGCGAACAATTAGGTTTACAAACAAGCGTTTGGCAAAAATTTTGTTTTTCTTGCAAACTCTGCATCCGGTGATGAACATGACTGTGGCCATCTTTCCTGCATGAGCACGAATATGGCCGTCTTTTCCAGAATTATGGAATGAGTTAAATGAACCAAGGTATCAAAGTATTTCCTAGACACTGACTGAGTTCCTTTTCATATATTATCTCACTTTTTCACATTTTAATTTTGAATTATGAGAACTTTAAACTGCAGGAAATTTGTTGTTGGTCAGCAGCAGTGGGGCAAGCACAAGTTAGAGTTTTGTACCAGGGATTTTGTGATCTGTCATGTTTCATATCTGATACTCAGTTTCTGAAAACAGTAGTACGGGGGCTGGGGATTTAGCTCAGTGGCACAGTGCCTGCCTGGCAAGCGTGAGGTTGTGAGTTCGATTCCCGGTACCGGAAAAAAAAAACAAACAAAAACGGTAGTATGATTTGTTATTCAGCATGCCAGGCAGGATTTAGCAGTTTTTATGTAAATGATGATTTCTTCAAACTAACTTTCAGATTATCAAAACAGCCTATAATGAAGCATTAGAAGTATAGATCTCAAGGTCAATGTTAATGTCAATACTGAATAAACTAAAGAGCATTATGAACTAGGATAAAAATAGAGTTCACAGTGAAGACTTACCAGTCGTAACTTTAGGTCACCCAGGAAAATTATTGACAGGATGGAGATATTAAAAATAAAAGAAAGATACTGAGATAAACTGATAAAGTTATTTAACAACTAACCCAGTTCCAAATACATGACATAGATAAAAATAAATATTTATTTTTATGTTACCAATAAATGTATTGGAATGATGCATAAAATAATACTTTATGGAATAAAATTTTATTATTTTTCAGGAGATGAGCTGTACTTAGAAGATTCAGACTTTTTAGAAAAAGTTTTGTCTACTGAAAAAAAGACTGAAGAAATCATGAAAGAAGGCCAGAAATTTCACCGATTAGTCCACCACCATAGCCATTATTATAGTATTCATGTGACTGTTCAGTCAAAGGGTAAACACATTTACCCGAAGAACTATGTAGTAAATAAAAGCCATTTGTAGGGTACAGCCTGTTTGTAAGCTAACCTACTTGAACTACAGCTAACGATTAATGAGGGCCAACTTATTTGCTTAAAATTTAAGGACTCTGTGCCTACAGAAGTTATAATGCAGTATTTCTTACTTCAAATAGATGTCTGGTTTTATTATATAAATCAGATAGTATATCACAATATAAAATTTATTAATGATTTTGTTACTAAAATAATAAAAAGTTCACAATGTTTTCCACTTCTCTATTGTTTTATTAGCTCTCCTGTCATTATTCCAACTCTTCCATATATTAGGACTTTCCCTGATATGTTTTGGAGGTTGATCCATGAATTTTTTTTTTACCTTATGCTGGAATTAATTTATGGCTACATGATTAGTGAACAGTAAACTAAGAAATCTTCTAATGATAAAGTTTAAAATCAAATAGCATCAGTTATTATGTTTCCCAAATTGGAAGTCTATTTTATTTACTATTTTAAGGAAACATGAAATGATACAAAAACCAACTTTAATTTCTGAAGTTCTAGTTAATAAATGCAAAGAGGTTAGGGATATAGTGTTAAATTAATGAGGTTTACTTTCAGTGTGCTTAATATAGGTAAATTTGTTACCTCCTCTAAAGAGGACTAGTTTGTTTATTAAAGGTGGGAAATGATAGTTAAGACAATTCTACTTTAAGAGACAGTTCTACTGTGATTATATTATGTGTTAATTAATGGATCTTTTCATGAAATGTCTCAGTTTTCTACCTAGAAATGAAGGCAGTGAGAAATAGAGTTTATGTGTATATTTAATCCTGCCCTGGTTCTCAACCTGGGCATTTGCCCTTGGGAGTTTGGGGCTGTGTCTAGAAACATTTTTTTGGGTCACAACTGGAGAGGAGATAGTGCTGCCATCTAGTGGGCAATTGCCCGCGATGCAGTTAAGTGACCATGTACAGGATAGCACCCCAAAAGGATTATCTAATCAATGGTAAGAAACACTGATCTATAGTAAAAAAAAAAAGCAAAAGAAATTCCTAAATGGTCCCAATGTATAAATTTTGAGAACCACAGTTATTCAATTATTATGATTCTGTCTGGCTCTTGAGTCTATATTAACTTTAGGCCTTGAGCATGTACTTTGTACTTTGATTCTCACAGGATATTAGAATGCTACAGCTAGAAGAGATCTGAGTAAACACCATGATTTTGCCAGTGAGAAAAGAGAAGATTCATGCAGCTAGGTGGTTCCACAGCCAAGAGGAGAGCTTTATCTCCAGTCCTGCACCCTCTTCACCGGCGTTCCTATGGAATGTGACTGGTTTTTCATGATAGAAAAGATACAGTTTAACTTGGTACTATTTTTTGCAGTTGTTTGGTTTTTTGAAATGGGTCTCATGTTGTACAGGCTGCCCTTGAACTTGGGATCTAAATCTGAATGAATCTTTTGAAAAATTACTTTTGGGAGACTATCACACGACTTCCTACTAGCATCAATCCCCTGTCCCAATAGTCCAAAATAAGACTGTCTTCATGTACTGAAAAATTACGTTGTTTTAGAGCTCAGCTCACGTTTATAGCATTTATCATACATGTGGTCTTTCTTACCCAGTGGCTACCTGGACCTCAGATATGGAAGCAGAAAGATGATTACAGTATTTATTCCCATTTCTCCTTGCTGCCTTTGAACTGGTATCCCTACTTGTCTTAACTGCTTCTCTGTTGCTGGGACAAAATACCCAGTACCCATAACTGAAAAGAAGAAAGGTGTATTTTGGCTCATGGTCTCAGTACATGGTTGGCTGGTGCCAAGACCGAAATGGCATGGCAGAGGAAAGCTGTTCAGCTCATGCAAGCCAGGAAGCAGGGAGAGAAGGGAGGAATTGGGGACAATAATATATATTTCTAGGGTATGCCTCCAGTGACCCAGCACCAATGAGGCCTTACCTCCTACTAGCACATTTAGCTACTGAGCCAACAAATATTTATCCACTGATTAGTACAGCATCCTCATGATCCAAGCATATGAGGCTTTTGGAGCAATTTTGCATCTAAACCATAATATTCTGTTATTCGCCGCTCAGGTTTGTTTGGTTGTTCCTGACCAAATCAAAGGAGGCCATTTATTTTGGTAAACGGGGAAAAAAGATTTGTTCAAGGATAGCTCTGAGGCAATAAAGGGAATAATGTGCCTTAAATCACTCTCTCACCATGTGTACGTGTTGTGATCTTTTTTAGTGAGGAGCAATGGGGAAGGGAATACAATGGAACAACAGACATGTTCAGGCTTTTTCCATCTCTTGCTGGACACGTTTGCCTGAGAATGAAATTGTGCTTGACTTCCTGGTACCAGCATTTGTATACAAGTATTTTGTTCATCTGGGCTGTAGAGAGGTAGAGGTAGCTATTTAAAGTTCCATTTTGCAGTGCCAAGTACAACTCCTCCCTCTGGCTTTCAAAAGGTTTATGTACACCTCTTTAACTACAGTGTATGTAGTCCTCATCTAAGAATCATGAAAATTTACAGTTCTAGCTTGCTAAAAAGTCCAAGTTCAAACTTAAAACGTACAATAGATGATAGGAAAGGGAAAGAAATTGCTCAAGGGAAGGAATGACTTGGATGAGGGAAAGAACAGAAAGAAGGAATGCAAAATATAAATATATATATGAACAGCTGTGATAACTGTATTGCTGATGTCTGATGGTGTATTGAAATGAACAGTTAATGAGTACAGTTTTTTATATTCTGATCAATTGTGCATGCTTGTGTCTGAACAACTGATTTGAAGGTAACAATATGCAATGGAATTGCAATGGTGAACTCCTACCATCTTGTTTAGTGAAACTCTGTATTATCTCTACTGTGTTATTGAAGAATTATTTTCTTATTCCCTATAATGGTTTGAGCAATCTTTCATTCTTACATCTGGTAATCTGAGCAATGTAGCTGAGGATAGCGATATGTAATTGAACAACCACTGTTGATTCGTATTATTTTGTTTTGAGACTCTGTATCACTTTGAATATTCTTGCTTTGATTTGTTTATGTTTGTGATACTGGTATGCTGCTACTGTTCCATTGCTTTGTTTGTTTGTTTTTCATTTACTACTCTCTTTAAAATAAAAAAAAAATGGCTGCTAGGAAAAAAAAAGTCCAAGTTTAAAGTCTCTTCTCAGACTCAAGGCAAACTTTCAGCTGCGAACACATATAAGGCACAGGGTTAACATTCCCATTCCAAAAGGGAGAAATAGGAGGAAGAAAGGAATGGAAAGCAAGACAGGAACCCAGCAAGGCAAACGTCAAATCCATGTACAGCACCCTGCACAAATTGCAGTGAGATTCAAACTCCAAAGAGGCTTAGGCTAAGTAACCTTAGTTACTTCCTGCCTCTGAGCCATTTTTGGTTGCAATCCTAATGGCCTCTCTCTTGTCCTGACTTTAGTTACTGCTTTTCGCCTTCCTCAGATGTTCCACGTTCCTGGCTTTTCCAGCTTCCTGGAGTCTCCCCTGCATTTTTTGCTTCACTCTCACAGCTTCATGCACTGCCCTTGTGAGGACACAGTGCCTGGCCTCCCAGGCCTTCTGAAATCTGCGTAGACGCCTCCATGACCTCATGACTCTTGCATTCTGCATGGATGTAAAACCAATACCACATGAATGATACTTGAGCAGTTGCCAGATCCCCTTGGGCCATGGCTTCAGAGGCCTTTGTGTGCCTGAATGGCTGAGTACTGTGAAACAAATCCTTGGGACCAATTCCTTAGGTGACCTTTCTCCAGAAGGAGGCCTGGGGGCTTGCTTCTCAAATGAAAGCTTTATAGTTTTGCACATTTGAGCCTGCAAAGGTTGGGACTTTGTTGGTTCCTCACATGCCCTCAAACCATCTTTCCTATTGTCCTACTACAGGATACTTGGCTCCTTTTTAATGCTAATCTCATCATGTTCTCTTTTTCCCCAAGTCTGCAAGTAGTTCCTTTCTGATGAGGCTGAAAACTCTTCACATCTGCTTTTTGCTCCTGATGCTTATTGTAGATCTGCCTAAAAGCAGCCAGCAGTACGCATGCCACAGCCTGAACATTGGGTTGCTTTGAAATTTCTCCCACCAGATTATCCAATGTCCTTAACCTCAGCTCCTGCAAAGTCTCAGGAAATGGACAAAATTTAGACAAATTTTTTGCCAAAGAGTGTAACACACAACCTCTAATCCAACTATCAATAGAGTTCTTGTTCACAACTAAAACCTCCTGACCCTGGCCTTTTCTATCTACTTTCTTATTAGCTTTCTAGTCTTCTGAGTGCTAAACAGAATCTCCCATCTATATTTTTGCTTAAAGCATTTTAAAGTTTCTTGAGCTGGTATCTCCAAACATTTCCAAACTTGTCTGGCAAATCTGTTCCAAAGGCTTCTGAACCACACGGTAAGGTATAGTTATAGTAATGGCCCCACTCCTGGTGATAATATCCACCTTAGTTACTTTACTGTTGCTGGGACGAAATATGCAATACCCATAACTTAAAGGAGGAGGGATTAATTTGGCTGATGGTTTCACTTCACAGTTGGCTGGCTCCAAGACAAAAATGACACAGTAAAAGAACATGGTGGGAAAATACTATTTAATCCATGGCAGCCAAAAAGAGGGGAGATGGGACAACAAATACTCTTTCCTGGATCAGAGCCCTAATGACCTACCTTTAACCAGGCCCCAACTCCTAGCAGCTCTTTTAGCTAGGGAATGCCTCAGCGGATGACTCCATGGATTAGCACCCTCATGATCCAATCACCTTCCAAACATAGGAGAGTTTGGGGGCCATTTTAGATCCAAACTATAATTTAAACTATTCTCCAGGACATAGCCAGGACATGTCTTCTATAATACCATACCCATCCTGAAGTTCCAGTTACAAATTCAGGAATAAGTACTGAGTCAAACAGACATGTTTATTCCCTCCCCTTTTTGCTGATTCTTTTGAGTGACCTCCATAAGCATCCAAAAGTAGACTGGCATTTATATTCCAGGCTAATATGTCTTGTTCATAATGTTATTAACAAAAATAATTCAGAATATTATGTAATATGAGATATAGTATCATGACTCAATATAAGGGAAACGTGCTCTTCTGACAGATAATTTGTGCCATATTTGGGCATAATGTAGTTATTTCATACTTTTTCCTTACCTTAGACCTGTCCTTTTTTTCAACCTCTGCAACATTGGGCAGTTTTCTATTTTTATTTCCTCTGTAGCTATTCTTAGTTTCTTCTTCTTCTTTGACTTCTGGCTTTTTTTTTTTTTTAATGGGAATTGAACCTAGGGCCTTTATGCTGAGAGATATCCCAGACCTTTTGAAAATTTAAGAGACACAAAATTGCTAAGTCAGCAAGTTGCCCCAGCTGGAGTTTGTGATCCTCCTGCCTCAGCTTCCCAGAGTGCTAGGATTACAAGTAGTACCCTCTTGATGTTAAGAGTCCCTCAGTCCTTGTTGTCAGACCTTCTTTCCCTAGCTGTGGTCAGTGACTTCCAGGTCACATCCTTTAAGGAGATAATTTCTTGACCTCAGCTTTCTCTTTGCGCTTCTTAGTAGCTGGAAATGGTGACAACTGGAACAGCTGCCTTGGACCCACTACAGAATGAAGTGTTAAGAAAGAGCTGTCTTTTCGTTGTTTGTTTTGGTTTTTTGAGACAGGATCTTGTTTTGTAGTTCAGGCTGGGCTTGAACTGTGTAGCCCAGGCTGGCCTCAAACTCGTGGTGATCCTCGTGCCTCCATTTCCTGAATGCTGGGATTACAAGCATGTGCCGCCACACTTGGTGATATATTTGATTAGTTAAATGTATTAACTTATATTTGAATTTCTGTTGAAAGTTCAGTGTTAAAAAATTTCAGTGATTCCCTGACTTGTTATTCTTCCCTCTCTAGCAGTTTGCCTCAGCAGTCTTCCTTATGTCAACCTGAGTACCAGTTAGTCCAGCTGGAAATCAGTCATTTTTTCCATTTTTAAAATTTTCATTAGTCCTGAGGATGGAACCCAGGGCTTTGTGCATGCAAGACAAGCACTCTTTCACTGAGCTACATGCCCCCAGTTCCAAGTTACAAATTTTTTTCTTTCCTGTGTTACTAGTCATTGATTAATCTTTTTTGATTCCTCCCTTTTATTCCTATGTCCAGGAGATGAGGAAGTCCTGTTGATTCCATTACCTACTTTTATTTTGATCCCTGCCTCCTTTTAAGACAGGGTCTCACCATATAGTTCAGGCTGGCCTTGAACTCTCTAGGTAGCCCAGGATATCCTCAAATTCACAGCAATCCTGTCTCAGCCTCCCTGCACCACCACATGCAACTTTCTGACTCTTTCTCTTTCTCTCTCTTCCTCCCCCCACCCCTTCCCATCCTCCACTTCCTCCTCCTCCTCCTCCTTCTCTGTTTCTGTTTTTTGAGACAAGGTCTTCCTCTGTAGTCCAGGCTGGTCTTGAACTCATGGCAATTCTCGGGCCTCAGCCTCCCCAGTGCTGAAATTACAGGCATATTGCACCACACCTGATCTATGTATATTGCTTTTCTGCAGACCCAAATGTGATTGTGCTTACTTGTGAGCAGTGCAGGCTATGTAGAGATGACTTCCCTAAATTGGCTCTCAGTTTGAATAGTGAGTCTGGCTGTGGCTATGTACATGTCTTCATGGAAGGGGGTGGTGTGTTGGGCTAGCATTGCTCCTCAACAATAGCCATAGTTGAGCCTAGAGAAGCAGGCTGTGAAACTATGGGGCTAAGATATGTGATAATGTCTCTGCTGAGGCCTGTGTGATTCCAGAGAAAATTCCTTTCTGAAATTGACGACAGAGCAGGCTACTCATTAACCATGACCTTAATCTGGCTATTCTGCCTCCTTTGCAAGAATTCTTTGTTCCCTCTTTTACAAGCCTTGCCTGCCTAGCCACCTATCTCGCACATCTAGCTGTATCCCCTTACCATTTTCCTCAGTGTGAATGTGACCAATAAATACTGAGGTTCCGCCTCCTCGTGGCCTTTTGTTCCCCTTGAACAACTGGCCATTCCAGATCCACATTGCATTGCCATTTTCCCTCATTTTTTTCTTTCTGCTGTGCACTGTAACACCTTGCAGGAAACTGGGGTCCCTGGTACTGATCCTCTGTTCTGACCTCTGTACCGCTCTACCTTTAGTAAAAGCCAGTATTATTTCTTACTAACCTGCTGTTACTATCTCAGAGGTATGTTCTCTATTTTCAGTATTCCACCCACAACACACTCACTCACTGAGATGGAAACGTGAGTTGTGAGTCGTGTCATGTCATCACCGGCCTTATTAAAACTCTTCAATGGCTTTTCTTCACATTAACAAAGCCCTGCTTTTCTCCCTGGTCTCATGCATCTGTCTCCATTGGCACTCTCCCCTCAAGCCTTTCTGTTCCTTGACTACTGAAAGGTCTTTCTCACCTCAGAACCATTTGCACTTCTATTGCCTCAAGACAAATCTCGATCTCAGAACAACTTTTGTTCTTTGGTCTCTTTGTTACTGAAAGCTAAGAAAAACAGGATATTACAGACAGAGGATGGCATCCAGGGTGGGGATTATAGGCATATCTAAAATAATATTCCAGAACGAATGGAAGAGACATAGTACTTAGAGAAGAGAATGAAGTTTTCTTGCGCTAAAGAGAAATGTTGATCTTGAGATGAAAAGGCCCCGTCATGGTCAAAGCAAAATTAACAAAGATCACCCAATACCTTGATGGGATGTTGAACTTCAAAGAGAAATGTCCCACACTATGACCTGGGAGAAAGTGTTTTGTCACGAATTCAGATTGAGGAGGCTCATTTGCCATGTAGACAGCCTGAAGTAGAGATACAGAGCTGTGGACTGGGTTAAACATCTTCTATTCAGCTGTTCAGCTACAGTGCATCTGTGTAGCCGCTCTTGCAGACCCCAGCAACTGTACACGGGTGGCAGTCCTCAGGCCCCTAGCCTGCCCATGCTCACAGCAGTCCTCAGCTGCTTCGTGTACATTTATACCAAAATACATAAAGATGGTCATGTGCCAGTAACGACCTTGGCTACCTCAGTTTTTTTTACACTGAGACCAATAAGATGTGCTTGCGCTAAAATCTTGCTGATTTGGATTTAAATGTCCACCAGAACTCACCCCCTAAAGCCTAAACCAGAGTGTAGCCATCTTGTGCTTTGGCATTGCCCTACAGAAGATTGTCTTTTCTGTCTTTGGGCCTTGAGAACTATCTCAGGGGCCTCATTAAATCAGATCTCATGGTCTCCATCTGCAGCTTTCAGGTGAGCAGGCCTTGCCAGTGCCCTGATTTGGGGTGGGTGTGGGAGGGTCTGATTAGCAACAGGTGAACTTCATGCATTCTGCAGCAGTGTTTTTCTCCTGACTGGCAGTCATACACTCACCATCTCTGACCCAGCTGCCTGAGCTATTTATTCAGCACGTATTTATAAGACCTTGTGAAATCCCCCCCCCCATGGTGGTGGTTTTATTGTTTAATTTTATTTTGAGATGGGGTCACCCTTCACAAGTACCCGACTTGCTGCTTCTGGGGTGATGGAGGGTCCTGACGAGGTCACTGGTTTCAGGACCTCCAGCCAACATTGCCACCTGCCCTCCCCCCCTTTCTGGAAAAGGCCCCAGCCTGTATTTTCATTATTGAGGAAGCACAGATTTATCTAAACTTGAGCATCTCTAACGGAGCCCGTTTTCTCACCCCAAAATTAAGACTGGCAGAGTGGTTCTCAGAGTTTGACGATATCACACAGCGAAGCCAAAAGGCCCGCTGCTTCGATGCCGCTGCAGGTGCTCGCGGCTTCCGTATCCACGCTGCGCCTGCGCGAGCACCACGTGGGCGTCAACCGCCGGTAACCGCTCAGCGGGGCGCGGCGCGTGGGCCGAGGACCAGGCTCAGAGGCGCGCTTGGTTCGTCCCTCGCGCGCGCCGGACCTCTGAAGGCCAGGGACTTGCCTGCCTTCAGACGGACCTGTCCAGGGGGCAGTTACCTCCCCGCTGTTGCCTTCTGGGAGGCCCGGCCCCAGGACCTTGAGGCGGGCGCTCCAGGACGACGGAGACCTTCAGGCGGGCGCTCCAGGACGACTGAGGGCAGAGACGGCGGCCGCCGCGAGCGCAGGATGTTGGAGGTCCTGGTGCTGAAGGTGAGCGCGGCGCAGGGCGTGGTGAGGCCAGGCTTCCGATATGCAGCAGAGAGTTTGGCTGGGGATTTAGAGTGCTACATTACTACGGGTGGTTTCCCTGAAATTCAGACGGAACTTGGAGCCCTGTGCATGTGAATATACGGTCACTTTTCTTCTTTCCCTTCTTTTCTCCTCCCCC